AGGTATAACACAGAGAGATCGAGCACTCTCTGTGTACCTTGACACAGAGAGTACTCCATCTTTCTGTGTTATACTGCTGAGAACAATTCCAGTCACAGCTCCTGGCGAAACGTCAGGCCCTACAAGGCCAAGACCACGGCCAGACAGCCTGGAAAATCTACAACAACTAATGAACTCTGGCCCTGAAAGCCTTCGACAACATATTCCCCCTACCTTGCTTCTACACCACATCACTTCCTTCATTGTTAAGGTATTGCAAACAGTCCTTTTCAGCGAATAAGAAGTCTACAAAAGAAACTATAAGTAAGCAATTTCACAGGGCAGCCATGTTGGTCTGCTCTGCCAGTAGGAGAGGCAGATTCCAGTCCAGGAGCACAAGATTTCCAGGGTGCGAGCTTTCAAGATTCAAAGCTCCCTTTCTCAGGTGTCTGACGAAAGGACCTCTGACACCCGAAAGCTTGTACTTCGAAAATCTCGATGGCCTCTCGGGTGGCTCCTAAACTCGAACCTTGCTGTGCAAGTAAATAAATCTCTCATCCTGCTTCTCTTCGTTCACACTCCATGAGACTCTGCTCCATACCCGGCTCGCCAGGGTTATTTTTGGGCAGGAACAGAGTTCCGGCTGGCTCCCGAGTTGGCCACACCCAGCGGGAACTCATTAGCATAATAGGCCACACCCAACAGCAGGAACTCATTAGGATTGGCTACATTAGAGGTGTGTGGCCTAACATGCAAAGGAGTTCCTGCTACAAAAAAAGGCCCTGGGTTTTGACAACAAACAAGGTAAACAGAATAAGAAGGGAAAGGTGGGTGTGGCTGGATGACCACACTTCTGGTAACATGGGGGTGTGGCCTAATGTGCTAATGAATGGTGCGGTCAGGGTGTGGCCTAATATGCCAATGAGTGTCTGCTGTTGGGTGTGGCCTATTATGCTAATGAGTTCCTGCTGGGCTTTTTCTACAAAAAGAGCCCTGCGGGCCCGCCATTCATCTCCCCGTCTTCCAAAATCCATCTCCACCCCCACCGCAGGAGCTTATTCGCCCTCTTTCCTCCAAGTGAACAAGGTCTTCCTTGCGCACGGAGAGAGACCCAGAAAAGAAACCACGCAAGCATGTTTCATTCCAGAGAAGCCAGTCATTTCCTTCCTCCCAAAGGAGCCCCGTGCCCACAGAGGATCCGCTTCCCCCCCCCCACAGGGAGGGGCAGCGAAGGCAGGCCCTGCCCCGCTTGTCTTTCCTGCACCTCCACTGCACTAGGAGCACAGGGGCATTCAGACGTTTCCTTTATTAAAACACCTCTAGAAGGGAGGATCAAAAGCCACCAAGAAGCTTAACTCTTCCCCCATCATCCGTTAGTCCAACTGTCTTCTCCCTAACCTGACGAGTACCCTGATCTGCATGGACCAGGTTAACATAAGAACATAAGAGAAGCCAATGTTGGATCAGGCCAATGGCCCATCCAGTCCAACACTCTGTGTCACACAGTGGCCAGAAATACCAGGGGCCATCAGGAGGTCCAGCATTGGGGCCAGGACACTAGAAGCCCTCCCACTGTGGCCCCCCACCCCAAAAGCACCAAGAATGCAGAGCATCCCTTGCCCCAGACCGAGAGTTCCTATCTGTTCCTTGTGGCTAATAACCACTGATGGACCTCTGCTCTTAACATAAGAACAGAAGAGAGAAGCCAGTGTTGGATCAGGCCAATGGCCCATCCAGTCCAACACTCTGTGTCACACAGTGGCCAAAAATACCAGGGGCCCTCAGGAGGTCCACCAGTGGGGCCGGGACACTTGGAGACCTCCCACTGTTGCCTCCCCCCCCCAAGCGCCAAAAATACAGAGCATTACTGGCCCCAGAGTTCCTATCTATCCCTTGTGGCTAATAGCCACAGATGGACTTCTGCTCCATATGCTTATCCAATTCCCTCTTGAAGCCGTCCATGCTTGTAGCCGCCGCCACCTCCTGTGGCAGTGAATTCCATGTGTTAATCACTCTTTGGGTGAAGAAGGACTTCCTTTTATCCATTCTAACATGACCGCTCAGCAATTTCATGGAGTGCCCGCGAGTTCTTGTATTGTGAGAAAGGGAGAAAAGTACCTCTTTCTTTACCTGCTCTATCCCATGCATAATCTTATAAACCTCGATCATGTCACCCCTCAGCCGTCGTTTCTCCAAGCTAAAGAGCCCCAATCGTTTTAATTTTTCTTCAAAGGGAAACTGTTCCAACCCTTTGATCATTCTAGTTGCCCTTTTCTGCACTTTTTCCAATGCTATAATATCCTTCTGGAGGTGTGGTGACCAGAATTGTACACAGGTTAGCCCGATTTCATCAGATCTCAGAGGCAAAGCGGGGTCGGCCCTGATTAGTACTCGAATGGGAGATCACCAAGGAAGTTGCTATGCAGCAGCAGGCAAAGCATCCCTGTTCTTCTCTCGCCTTGCAAACCACACGGCGCTGCCTGAAGCCGGCTGGGACTGGGGTTAAGAGAGCTGACAAACAGAACTTTTACTCCCTCTCCCCAAGTACTAGAATTTGAGGGCATCCAACGAAGCCGATGGGCAGTAGGCTCAGGATGGACACAAGGAAATACTACTTTACACAGAGAGTGCTTAAAAAGTGGAACCCAGCGGTTTGAAAGTGCCATTAATATCAAAATGAGCGCGATTAGATAAATGGGAACCTACTTTAGATGGTAGGGGGCACCCTCCCCCATTGTGGGGGTCGTTGGAGGGTCGGAGCTCGGCGGACAGCGAAAGCAGCGAGCGGCGAAAATGGCGTTCGGGTACATCGGTGGCGAAACCAGACGGCGGTGGAGAAGGCGGAGCCAGGACGATGCACGAGCATAGTGGCGCAGGTGGGGCGGAGCCGCAAGGACAGAGCCATGGCCGCGCCGAGCATGCCGCGCGGCAGAAGGGCCAACCAATCCACCACTGAAAAGATCGCCAGAAAAGGAGCCAGAAGCCGAAGCTGAAGACGACGGAGCCGACCCGAGAAAAGAAACCCCCCTCCCCTGGGTGCCGGTAGGGATGTCCCCACCCCTAAGAATTGTGGCCATAGGTTAGGGATAATGAATAACTGTAGCCGCTCAGAGACCCCTTCGGGGGTTAGAGCAGGGTAGCAAGTCGAAGAAATAAATAAATATAAATAAATAAATTTGCTGCCAGAGGATGGAGCGATGGTCACAGGCACAGACAGCTTGAAAAGGGGGTTAGATAGATTTGTGGAGGATAAGTCTATCAAAGGCTATCAGCCTTAGTGACTGAGGGGAACCTCCACATTCAGAGGCACTAATCCTCTGAATCCCAGAGCCAGGAGGCAACATCGGGGGAGGCTTCGGCCTCTCTGCCCAGTTGTTGACCATCCAGAGGAACTGGCTGGCCACTGTGTGAGGCAGGAGGCTGGCCTGGATGGACCACAGGTCTGATCCAGCAGGTCTCTTATGTTCTTATGAGATTTGATGGCAATTTCCACCACGAACCAGTCCATCACCTTTCTGAGCCATTCCCCTTCACTGCCCCCATCAACAAACTGCGGCTTAAGTTTTCTCCCAGAACTGGTCCCCCATAATAGTTTTTCACTCTTCCATATCTCCCCCAAACACTGACATGCTCCCCTCTGAAAAGAACCCTCCCCCAAAAAAATATTTCTTCTTTCTTACTGGCAAATCAAGGTGGGGGGGGGGGAGAAGGAATCATGTTCCTCAAAGGCCCCCCCCCAGGAGAATCCCTCTCCTCATTCTAACCCCAGAATCTTACCCTAACATAAGAATATCAGAGGACCCCTGCTGGGTCAGACCAGTGAAGGTCCATCTAGTCCAGCCTCCTGTCTCACACCATGTCCAGCCAGTTCCTCTGGAGGGCCAGCAACAGGGCAGAGAGGCCAAAGCCTCCCCCTGATGTTGTCTCCTGGCCCTGGAGTTCAGAGGTTTAGTGCGTCTGAGTGTAGAGGTTCTTATTTTACGCCAAGAGAATTACCAACATCTCTTCCCGCCTGCCATTGCAGCCCCTTCCTCGGCCTGCTGCATAGCTAGGGAGACCCATCTGCCCCCCACCCACCCACCCACACAACTTTTTTTGCTGTCCTGATAAAAAAAAACCCTCCCCAATGAAACGAGCCTTCCCCATCTCAGGAATGGCAGCCCCCTCCCACACCGAGACCCCCCCACACACACCTCTCCCAGGAACGCCAGCCCCACATTCCCTCCCAGCTACCCACTTGGGGGGGGGGTCTTTGCCTCCCCCTCAAGTGCTCCCCTGTCCCCCAGGTGGGGTCTGGTCCAGACACGCAGAAAGTTTCCTATATTGCCACAATAATACCCCCCCCCCATATAAGAATCTTCCAGTAAGGACTCTTTTCTGCAGCCCCTCAATCTCTGCCAAGGAGAACTCCCAGGCCCCATACATGCCACAGGCCCCCCCTCTGACCCCATAATTGCAACATATGCCCCCTATGGCCCCATACGTGCCTCAGGGCCAGCCCCCCAGGCCCCATAAGTGCCTGGCCCCATAAGTGCAACATATGCCCACCTCTGGCCCCATAAGTGCCACAGAGGACCCCCCGGTCCCATAAGTGCCACACTCGCCCCCCTTTGGCCCCATAAGTGCCACATATGCCCACCTCTGGCCCCATAAGTACCACACACGCCCCCCTTGGCCCCATAAGTGCAATATATGCCTTCGGCCCCATAAGTGCGTCTCACATGTGCCCCCTTCGGCCCCATAAGTGCCACATATGCCCCCTTTGGTCCCACAAGTGCCCTTTGGCCCCATAATTGCCACATATGCCCACCTCTGGCCCCATAAGTACCACACACGCCCCCCTTGGCCCCATAAGTGCAATATATGCCCCCCTTCGGCCCCATAAGTGCAATATATGTCCCCCTTTGGCCCCATAAGTGCAATATATGCCCCCCTCTGGCCCCACAAGTGCCTCAGCGCCCCGCACCCCCTCCTTCTCGGCCCTTCCCCACAGAAAATGGGGGTCTGACACCCCCCCTCACCTGTCAGGCCGCCGCTGCTGCTGCTGCTGCTCCCCCCAGACTCGGGCCCCGCCGCCGCCATCTTGGCTTCCTCTTCCTCACTCCTCCGCGCCTCCCCCTCCTCTTCCTCCTCCTTTGGCCGACTCTCGTGTCCCCCCCCACCACCACCCTGCAGTCTCTTTCCGTTTCTTTCTCCTCGCCCCCCCCGCGCTCTTCACTTGGTCTCGCCCGCTCTCGCTTCAAGCGCCGCCTGCGGGCCGCACCATCTGGGCGCCCACGGGGTGGCGGTGGGGGTTACGCCTCTTCCCTGTCTGTTTCTTCTACACCTCCCCCCTTTTCCTTCCGTGGATCCTCCCAAACGGCTTCGGAACAGCCCACACCGTGTGGGCGAGGGGGGGGGAAGAGGAGGAGAGAACGGAAACGGAAAAGAGAATGAAATCACCGCCTTGTTTATCACTGAACGGGGGGAGCCAGGAGGAGACCACTGCGCAGGCGCTGAAGGAAAAGGCGGTGGAAGACCTGGTGGAGGCGGCCCAGGGGGGATGTCACGTGGGAGTTGGCGTGGCCGCCTCCATGACAACAACAAAGGGTTCTCCTCCGTCGCCATCTTGGTGGTTCCTATAGCAACAGAACCTGCAAATCTTGAAGAGTCAGCGCTGCTGCTCCGTAGCATTCGTTGTTGTCATGGTGATGCTGCTTGCTTTGTTAGCATCACTCCCTAATCCTGATCTCACCTTTGCTGAGTGCAAAAGAGCAGGTTCTGGTGTCACTGTCATTCACCAAGGGGCTAAAAATGTCTCTTGGTCGCCCAACACGTTTGTGACACAACCGGACCAGGCGGTGTGGCGTAGGGGAGAGATATTGGCCCTCATTTCATGGCAGGCCTGGGTTCGAGTCCTGTTCTGTCATAGCTCCAAAGCGTCCCAAGTAAGAACACCAGAAGAGCTCTGCTGAATCAGACCAGTGAGGGTCTATCCAGTCCAGCCTCCTGTCTCACACAGGGGCCAACCAGTTCCTCTGGAGGGCCAACGACAGGGCAGAGAGGCCGAGGCCTTCCCCTCATAAGAACATCAGAAGAGCCCTGCTGGATCAGACCAGTGAGGGTCTATCCAGTCCAGCCTCCTGTCTCACACAGGGGCCAACCAGTTCCTCTGGAGGGCCAACGACAGGGCAGAGAGGCCGAGGCCTTCCCCTCATAAGAACATCAGAAGAGCCCTGCTGGATCAGACCAGTGAGGGTCTATCCAGTCCAGCCTCCTGTCTCACACAGGGGCCAACCAGTTCCTCTGGAGGGCCAACGACAGGGCAGAGAGGCCGAGGCCTTCCCCTCATAAGAACATCAGAAGAGCCCTGCTGGATCAGACCAGTGAGGGTCTATCCAGTCCAGCCTCCTGTCTCACACAGGGGCCAACCAGTTCCTCTGGAGGGCCAACGACAGGGCAGAGAGGCCGAGGCCTTCCCCTCATAAGAACATCAGAAGAGCCCTGCTGGATCAGACCAGTGAGGGTCTATCCAGTCCAGCCTCCTGTCTCACACAGGGGCCAACCAGTTCCTCTGGAGGGCCAACGACAGGGCAGAGAGGCCGAGGCCTCCCCCCATGGTTGCCTCCTGACCAATGCTCCCTCTAAGCTGTGGAGTCTTGTGAGCAAAAATTCGACTTTGTGAGCTACTGGCATTAAAGCTGTGAGTGAGCGATTTGGCGGCTGCATGAATTAGTTTGCTCTCTGGACCCCTCCTTTTCGAGCTGAGACAAAAATGTGTGAGCTGGAGGCTAAAAAAACTGAGCTAGCTCACACTAACTCAGCTTAGAGGGAACACTAGCAACCGATAGACCTATCCTCCAGTAACTGAATCCCCTAAAGCAGGGTTGCCAACCAATGCTCCCTCTAAGCTTGTGGAGTCTTGTGAGCAAAAATTCGACTTTGTGAGCTCCTGGCATGAAAGCTGTGAGCGAGCGATTTGGCTACTGCATGAATGAGTTTGCTCTGGAGCCCTCCTTCCTGAGCTCAGACAAAAACCTGTGAGCTGGAGGCTAAAAAACTGTGAGCTGGCTCACACTGACTCGGCTTAGAGGGAACACTGTTGCCAACCTCCAGGTGAGTGTAGAAGCAACAGATTGATCACGGGAAAGGATGGAGTCGATAACAAAAAACAACCGTGATGCTGTATTATGAAAAATAATTTAGGCTTCGGTTCTGCAGCGAATATATTTTTTCATCACATTATGAAAACGTACGCAGATGTTTTCATAATGTGATGAAGAAATATATTCACTGCAGAACCGAAGCCTAAGTAATTTTTCATAGTGCAACTTGACGACAACCTCCAGGTGAGGCCTGGAGATATCCCAGACTTACGAGTGATCTCCCAACAACAGCGATCTGAAGCCAGAATCAAACAGGTCCAGTCGGATCTTTGAGCAGGGGGGTTGGACTAGATGACCAGTACGGCCCCTTCTAACGCTGGGATTCTGTAATTCTACGAGAGGCAGGCTGGGATTTCCTTGGAACAAATGACACAGTCATCCTTGACTACTTGCTGGAAGACAGGAAAGAAAATGAGGTCATTTCTGTTGAAGCACCACAGCCTCGGGAAATGGGAGACACAGGGGTCAGCAGCCCATATCCTGGAGAAAAACGAAATGTGAGTCTTGTCACAGCACAAGTACAGACAGCCACGCAGGCATGGATCTCTTTGTGGGCCTACAAAGAAGAAGAGGAGGAGGAGGAGATTGGATTTATACCCCGCCCTTCACTCGGAGTCTCAGAGCAGCTTACAAACTCCTATCCCTTCCCCTCCCCACAACAGACACCCTGTGAGGTCGGTGGGGCTGAGCTCTGACAGAAACGGCTCTTTTTCAAGAACAGCTCTTGACAGAACTATGGCTTGCCCAAGGTCATCCAGCAGCTGCAAGTGGAGGAGCGGGGAATCAAACCCAGTTCTCCCAGGTTAGAGTCCGCGCACTTAACCACTACACCAAACTGGCTGTTGAAGAATGTCAAAGAATGACAAGGGCCATTTCCTTACATAATTATGATTGAAATGCGGTTTTTCGCTTCTTCAGAAAAATGTACTCGCCGATGGATCCCTCAACCCTCTACTCAATCAAAGTGATCAGGGTGAAAAATATCACAAACCAGATAAAGTTAAAGAGCGGGAAGCAAATTGCTCCTTTCTCTTTATCAGGTCAGAATGCGACCTAATTTGCTTTTGCTATGGAAGTGGCACGGAATATCCCCTCGCCGCCTCCGTCCCCAAATGCATTCCTCTGATCTGTTTGTCAGGATTAGCTATCAAAAAACAGATGATCTGAAAGCCATTTGTACTGACACGTGGGATCATGCGGATAGCGCTGCCGGATGCCGCTCTGCCAGCCTTTTTCCAGCCCGCCCACACAATCCAGCTAAACCAAAGGACTCAGCTTTAATCCAGGATTTTTCAGTTACGATTTCACACCGCGTTCCAACACTGCGAAAGAGGCTACCGGTGCAAACTAAACCACTGAATTGCGGCATTTTATCGCTTTTCTTTCAGACTGACTCACTTCACCCAAAAAGTTACAAAATGCATCCTTCTTTATAACCATTATTGAAACAGTTTTGGGTGCCAATTAGGATAAACCATTTTGGCTTTTTAAGAGATGAACTGCCATCAGCAAGGTAAAGCTTACTTCATTGGCAGGTTGATCAATAAGTTTCCAAATGTATCGAAAACAACAAAGGAAAACAGAGAACAGAGGAGGGTAATGGAGATGGTGAGGGGTCTGGAGTCTAAGCCCTAGGAGGAAAGGTTGAAGGAGCTGGGTCTGTTTAGCCTGGAGAGGAGACGACTGAGAAGGGATATGATCACCATCTTCAAGTACTTGAAGGCTGTCCTATAGAGGATGGTGCAGAGTATTTTGGTATAGTGGTTAAGTGTAGTGGTTAAGTGCAAGAATTCTAATCTGGGACAGCCGGGTTTGATTCCTCACTCCTCCACTTGCACCTGCTGGATGACCTTGGGCAAGCCATAGTTCTAATAAGAGCTGTTCTTGAAAAAGAGCAGTTCTCTGTCAAGAGCTCTCTCAGTCCCGCTGACCTCACAGGGTGTCTGTTGTGGGGAGGGGAAGGGAAAGGAGTTTGTAAGCCACTCTGAGACTCCCTTGGGTAGTGAAGTAAAAGGTAAAGGTTCCCTTGCTCGAAAGCCAGTTGAATCCGACTCTAGGGTTGCGGTGCTCATCTCCGTTTCAAAGCCGAAGAGCCAGCGCTGTCCGAAGATGTTTCTGTGGTCATGTGGCCAGCATGACTAAACACCAAGGCGCATGGAATGCTGTTCCCTTCCCACCGAAGTGGTCCCTATTTAACTACTTGCAATTTCTTGCTTTCGAACTGCTAGGTTGGCAGGAGCTGGGACTAGTAGTGCCCTCTTCTCCTCCTCCTCCTCCGTTGCCCCAGTAGGTCAGACCAGAACCAACGGGTTGCAATTAAATCTTAAGAGTTTTCAGCTAAACATTAGAAAGAATTTCCTGACAGAGCGGTTTTTGACAGATCGGTTCCTCAGTAGAACAGGCTTCCTCCGGAGGTGGTGGGCTCTCCTTCTTTGGAGGTTTCCAAACAGAGGCTAGCTGGACATCTGACAGTCACAGCAATGCTGATTATGTGGACTTAGGCAGATCATGAGAGGGAGGGCAGGAAGGTGCATCAAGGCTTCGTTCTCGTGGCCCTTTCTGACACGCCCTTGATTGCCGCTTTGGGGTCAGGAAGCAGTTTTCCTCCAGGCCAGTTTGGCCAGAGATCCTGGAGGGTTTTTTCCCATCTCCTGGGCATGGAGCAGGGGTCACTGGGTATGTGGGGGGGAGGTATTTGTGAACCTCTTGCATTGTGCAGGGGGTTGGACTAGATGACCTTGGAGGTCCCTTCCAACTCTGATTCTATGAACAGGGGGGAAAATGCTTCCCTGCTTTTTAGTCTCAGGGGTCGTTTTGTAGAAAAAGAGCTAGGGGAACTCATTAGCATATGCCACACCCCCTGACATCAGGGGCCCGGCGGTGGACCTGCAAGGCCGGCGGGAGTGCGAGGAAGCCCCGCCAAGGCCCTCCCTGGCCCCAGGCAGGCAGGGGTGGGGAGAGGCAGGGAGGAAGCAACTTACCCTCCCTCTTCTCCTGCCTCCTCCTGGCTGAACGAGGGCAGGAAGCGGGGCGGCCGGAAGCAGGGGGCGGGGCTTCATCATGTGCCCCGCCCCCTGCACCTCACCCGAGGGAACTGCGATCCCCCGCGATCCCCCCCCAATCGACCTCTGTTTAGTCTTATGGTGGTTGATGTTCAGGGGGCCATTCTTGTAATGCAAATAGATCTGTAGTGGGCAGAATGGTCCAGAAGGGCAGTTTCATATGGAAATGTGGAGTGGCTGT